CCCATTCTCCGCGGGTAAACCCCACCCCACCCCGGTGTGCCCCCCGAAACGGGGTCCTGGTGGGGAGAGCGCCCCCCTCCTCCCCCCTTAGCTTGCTGTGGGGAAAGGGGTCTGTGCCAGAGGAGGCCTAGGGAGCCCGGGGGGAGGGGGCTGCTTTGGGGGGGTGTCCCTCTCCTCTTGCTTTGCTTCACTGGAGAATAAAGAGGTGGCCTGGATGGGCCTGGTGGTGGCTCCCTGGACTTGCTGGGCTGGGGGGTGCAAGGGGGATTGGGGGGGCACCCCAAGCCCCCAGTCATGCTCCCTCTCCTCCCCAGGAGGGATTGGGGGGGCTGGTTCTCAGAGGGGTTTTACTCCCCCATGTGAGTTGGGGTTCAGAGTCTGACCCCTGTTTGGTGTGCCCAAGGCCAGTCCTGGTCCACCCAAGTGCCCCTTGGCTCCCTGTGAGCTCTCCTGGCCTCCTCCATTCCAGATGGAAATGTCTGATGCCTGTCTGCCGCACTGGATTTAACTAGGATCCCACAAACCATGTCACCTCTTTTTTTCTTTTTGTTTTTTTTTTTTTTTCTTTCTTTTTCTTTTCCTCCTAAAGCTACCCCCTCACCTCCTCTTCCTCCCTCTCGCTGCTCTGCAGGGCCGGGCTCCCTTCCCTGGCAGCAGCAGGCTGTGGGGGCTGTGTTGCTAGCCCAGTTACCAGCCCTCTGCTTCTGCAGACCTACCTTCGCTGGCAGCAGCAGGCTGTGGGGGCTGTGTTGCTAGCCCAGTTACCAGCCCTCTGCTTCTGCAGACCCCCAGGGAGCAGGGTGGAGAAGGGGAAGGCTTTGCCTTTCTCATAGCTGGTTGCTATGCTTCATGCTGCTGAATTTGCCGGGGCTTCTTTAGCAGGACCCACAGCACATGCTCTCCTGTTGGGGTCTGCATCCCATGCTCCTCAGCCCCTCTCAGCCAGGCGCTTGGGCTCTCCTCGGCCAGGAAGGGCTGTGCTGGCTCTGCAGGTCATGGAGGGTAAGCTGGATTCTCTTTACCTTTGTGTGCATCAGCAGAGCTGCTAATTAGGCCCAATCTGGCTCATTCAGGCAAAGCTGTGCTGCCAGGAAGACAGCACAGATGTCCCTGTGACGGGGACTGACCTGGCAGGCTGCTGTGCAAGGCTTTTCTGTGGCTGCGTAAACCCACCCAGACCTGTGCTGCTCCCCTCCTCCCTGTCCCTAATGGGTGCTCTTCTCTCTGCCTTTAGATTGACATTCATGTGACCTTGTGGTGAAGCTGTCTGGGCCAAAACATACTCATGACACACCCCCACCCCAGATTTGGCCATATCCACATCTTGTGCTGGGGAAGGTAGCAGCTCTGGCTTACTCTGGCTTAAACTGGGGTGGAGTTGGACCCTTAGAGCTTCTATAGGGATTCTGGGGGAGTCCTGACGCTCCCCTGTTGGTGTTTTGCAGAGAGGGAAACTGAGGCAGGGGGAGATGAAGCAGCATGCCACAATCCAGCAAGAAGGGTCTGCAGCATTGCAGGGTAACAGCCAAACCATAGGTGCTGGCTGTCTCCACCCTGAGCTGGGGATGTCTGTCCAGTGACCCTCTACCCCCAGCCGTGGGGCTTTGTAGAGTCTCATCTCCAGAGCTGAGCAACCTCCCAGCACTGGTGGAGGTTCCCCACCCTACAGATTCCCTTTAGAAAGACTCTTGGGGTCCTTCCAGCCTCAAGCCCCAGCCTTTCGAAATGCTTCCAGCTGCAGTGAGGCCATGTCCTTCCCCTCCTCCCTTGTGTTTCATTGATTAAGAGTGCTAGGCCTCATCGGGGGATTTAGGAAGAGCTAATTGCAGACTGGTAATTGAAGACAGCTTGGAGTCTCTGGAAATGTCAAGGAATGAGAGACGAGCTTAGATGCTCCCATGCATTTAAATATGCATCGCCGGCTCAGCCAGAGCCATACTGAGTGGAGACATGTCTGGTTTTCCCTCCCCCAGAGGACCTTGTACAGCTGCTGGGGGGAGTGGGGCAGGGGGAGCTTGCCTTGCCTGGGAGCCTCCTGCTCCCCCCAAGGCAAAGGGTGTGGGGGGGTGGACAATGACACACAAGAACAGGGGGGTATTGAGGGTAGGAATCCTCAGAC